TTTTTTTCATTATTTAAATATAATTTAGCTCTATAACTCATTCCAATTTAACTTAGTTCAAAATTGGAGGTTTTGTAACATAAGATATGTAGTTTGAATTACTATATAGTTATTATTTTTTGATTATTATTTCTGCTTCTTCTTCCAGTCCGAGTTCTTATTCGGATCCGATCAAAAGAAAAAAATTGGACCCGGTTTCCTAGAAACCAAAAAAATTCTATATTACTATTAATAAATCATTCGAAAGAGTAATTAATTAGGATATGCATTAACGTAAAACTCAAAGCGAATATCTTCTGCAAACTTTAACAACTACGTCCACAAATATATCGCTTTCCAACTATTTCGTTTCTTCTTTAGATTAATATGCAAGTTTTATTTGAGAGCTGAACTTCCTGGTATTTCATTCTATCCAGAAAAACTATAGTTCTTTAATTAGGGTTTGCATGCCGAAATAAATTGCTTATATGTTTGGAGAACTAATACCAAGCTTATAAGCCTTTCTTAAAAAATCATTCGAGTTACAGATGTACATCAGTTTCAGCCATAAAGCGCTAGACTAATTATATTGCAAATTTGACTAGACAGCTCGATATGAAAAAAACATAACAGGTGTATATTTTGCAAATCAGACGAGGAGAAAGGTTTGAAATAAATAAATAAGAGCATTTGGTTATATTAAAGACCAGTTTAATAAGATGGTAAAAGTTTTGTACTGTAAGTTACTGTTCAGGCCTCAATATTAAATTTACAAATTAAAATGTATTTCCTTTTGTATTGCCTGGTTAAAAAAAAAGTATTACCCCGACTTTTTACAGTGTAATATCTTAATTGACTGTCAAGTTTGAAGTTGAATACGATGCTACAGTTTTTAGGTTGTTTCGTAAAATGTTTCTACTTCATCTGGAGTAAAACTATAATTACTTCCTCCTGCCAGAAATGTCCGGGCGAAGGTGCTTGCGTAGTTGTACCCGCTCGGTGGGCTGTAAGTATGGCCAAGGTTGGCATAGGAATTGCTACTAGATGAATAGTAAATGGTAATGTCATGGCCTCCACCGAAAGTAGGTCCATAAGACGAGCAGTCGCCTATGGAGTGCAAATTGTAGTAACTATAATTCCCTGTCTGAGGCAGTTTCACAGGCGTCCATCCTGGCTTGTTTACCAACGAGAAAAGGAATGCCTGGGAATCATATCGATACTGGCAGCCGTAACCTGTTGGGGAAAATGAAAAGAATTAGCAATACAAAGACTTTGTTCAAAAATTGGAATTCATACAGACAAGAAAATATACTGATAGTACTTTAACTCCCTTAGCAAAGATATCAAACTCGTGATAAGTGTGTTTTTAGATTGAACAGAGCGATAAATTACATCCCGATATAAAGGCTTGAATTGTTCAATTGTTGTTTACTACAGACAAGCGGAACCTCGAAATAACGAACCTCTATATGACGAATTCCTTAATGTCACTAACGATTTTCTTTACCCCACGGAAAAAAAACTCCATAAAACGACACCTCGTTGTATAGCGAACAAATTCTGCCGGTTTCTTGGTCCTTCGTTATGCTGAGGTTCCACTGTACTTCCAAATTAATTTCCGAACTACCCCCTGCGATGCCGTCTTGGTCGTAGTCCAGCTAACTTAAAAACGCAAAGGTACGGTTTTGCTTTTTGGCGATAGAGTACACGAAATAATTGTGCAAGGGAAACTTTAATGTGTGAAAAAGAGGTACACACTTGTAATAGTTGACATTAGAGCAGCCCCCGTTCTGCTCGGTCTTTGTGTAGCTTTTTGAAATACACCGATTCATACTGAAGATTTTTTGGGCTGCTCAGGCCATTATTATTATAATCTTCATCAACATCATCATAATCATTTTCGCAGTGTAAACGCAGAAGATTTAAAACTTATTTCTTGAAAAAAAAAACTATTACGTGTAAAAATGATTACAATATAGTCCTAAAATGAAAAATAAGGATAAAATGACTTAAAAAGAAGTAAAAAACTACTACGATTTCAACATGAACCAACATCGATAAGAATATTAAATAGTAGTAATAATTGAATATGCAATATTCAATATCTTTTCTCTAAATCAAAGTCCAGCGTCCTAAAAGTCCTCTTTCGAAGTCAAAGTCCACCTCTTTTAGATTGAGATTTACTCTCGTCATTGAACGCGATCCCCTTAAGCATAGGAGGGATGTTTTCAGAATGGCAAATGAGATTCTGTTTCTTATAAAACAGTGCCAGCTCCACACAACACATGTGAGAACTGTTGACTGGAAACCTCACGGCATTTCTCCCACGATATGCGCGGGAAACGCGGATCATAGGTTTGGTGTATGTGTGCCCCTTGCTTTAATTTGTCTTTTGAAAATAGTGAACTTAACTGTTCTTCTGCATTAAGAATTTGAAATCCCGACTTTACGCAGCAAATTTCTCGAGATATTGGAGTTCGTGTTTTTGTCCGAAGTTGCGCACAGGTCAATTGCGTAAAATTTAGCGGACTTATAACCAAACTTAAAATCCTCGAAAAATGGTGTTAAAGTCCGCGAATATTCAACGTCCAACGTAAAGATTCAATATTCAATAAATATTCAATTATTAAATATTCAACATAAAGCTAAACAAATTTATGGTGGGCCAATGAAGCCTTCCGAATTATTTTGCTTCAAAGACACAAAAAACTTCGCTGCGTTATTAGCGGCTTGCTACAAAAAATTCCAACAGGCAAATGCGACAGATATGGCGTAGGATGGAAATGATCCACCTGACGATTGGTTGAAGACGGGATGAGCGCGGGACTCACAAACACACACAAACAGCTCGTGGATTCTCTGATCCGTATCAAATGTTCGCTCGAAAACAATGCATTCTCTGTTCCGCATTACGTTATGGCTGCCTTATATTACTCTATGTTGCATCGATTCCAGATTTATTCTGCCCCTGGAACAATCGCGCACGGTTCTATTAGGCTGCCGCCTCACAGCCTCGGTTCTTCGCGGGGCTGCTCGTTGGCAATTATTTTATCTTATCTTATTTTATTTTTATTGTGAACTATAACAAAAAAGACTTGATTTGAAGCGGCATTTTTCCCCATCTAACTTGCACTTTTTATATACAGTTTTCATTTAGTTTTAAGAGCAGGAAAGCGAGCCTTAGGAACTTAAGCCTTAATCAATTCACACTTGCGTTCTAGTCATTTTTGTTATTTTTTTTAAATACAACGGCACTTGAGACAATAGTGCAGAATGCTTTGCTCAAAAACCACTTTTTAGAGTAGCAAATATCAGCACAGAATTTTATTGTCGGCGAATATCTGTAATCATCCATCTTTCTGCAAGATAAGCTAGTGTCAAGTTGTCATCCCTGTGCAACAGAATTTTCTTTACCTCGTATACTACTACTTCGCCTTAACTGCGCTTTATTCATGGAAAATCGGAGAGAAAGTCGTCTTCGTGAGGATTCAGCCCTAACCCATTCCAACACCCATATTCATCATTTTTCCATTGCACTTGTTTTATTTCATGTTGTTATTAAAAAAGCGGTTAATTTTCTTAATAGTATCATTGTTTGACTTCCTTGCATGAAACAACGTACGGTTACAATTCCCTAATGAAGTAACCCTACAGAATTGGTGCTAAACATACATTGCTAAACATTGTTTTATTAAAATGGAGAAAGTAAGTAAAGAGTATTGTCGGAGAGGGGCTGGTTGGATTCCGCATACCAAAAATCCCCCCAGCTTAGTATGCGCAACCACGGTGTGATACTAAAAGGTGGCCGGCTTTGTTTGGTGTTTAGACCATTAAAAATAGACCTTGCCTTTTCGACGCCATCTTGACGAGTAGGTAAACGCGTGAGAAGTTACAGTGTTTGCTGTTATGAAAAAAATATCAATTGTAAACTAAAGCTTCACTCCTAAGGATGCTACTGAAAAAAAAAGTGAGGGCGTTGCATGCGCTAGAAGACCTAGAACCACTTTTTAAAATTTTCGATACATTTGTCTGTAGGAAAGTACTGGGAGAAATTACAGACAAATACATGGAAAACCTAAAGCAATCCTCTGGAGAAATTTAAGGACAGGTACGCCCCCCAAATTTTTTAGTACAATCCTTTGCTTTGTAGCTTTAGTTTACAATTGATATTTTTTTTCAGAAGAGCCGAATTACGGAAATTTTTCGACATCAGATTCTCATATAAACACTGTAATTTCTCACACGTTTGCCTACTCGTGAATATGGCGTCGAAAACCGTGACAAGGTCTATTAGAGCTTACCCCATGAGAGGCTAGTGTACCCTCCAAATATGTACTTCCCTCCGACTCTTATTATTGTTACAGTTGGTCCTTTGTTGTCACATCCGCTGTGAAAAGTACTGGCAGCCCAGCCATCCACGGACGCACGCCAACAACGCTTCCATTTTGAAGATTCGCTTTGGGCGACTGGTTTGAGCCATGTGCTTAAATTAGCTAAGTGATGCACATTATCTCCTAAGATAACGGAGTCAGTCAGTCCCTCTGCGAAAACTGATGTAAGGGAAGAGAAAAGAAAAGGTGATTCAGGTAACATGTTTTTTCGAAACTGATATCGCTTAAAATAATTTAAAATAATTTAAACACTTATAACGCTGGAGCATCTATATAGATATATCAAAATGTTCGATAAACATAAATGAACATCTGATAAAATGAAATAGCGTAATTAGAATATTACGTTAATTACAATTTATCATTCAAAATATTTCGCCGCTTCTGATTGGCTCAAAGCCCCTAATCAACTGGCGTTTACGATACTTGGAGGATGGAGCAATACGCCATCAAATCGATGGAAAATTGCTCGTATGTTCTTAATATGGTATCGATCAACTTCGAAGTTACTCGCTCCATGTTACAGACTCCAGCAGAAGCATAACATGAAGTATGACGTCAATGCTGGGTACGAAAACTTACCGGCGGATTCAGCGGATTGCCGATCTCATTAGCCACAATTTTGAATACTATGATGTCGCGCGTCCTTAGAAAACTTCCATAATTGATGTTATTAAAAACTGAATCATTGGATAATGCAATTCTAGAATTTTGATTGGCTTAGCCGTTATGGTATATGAGCTATTATACCATTCTCTCCATATATGGTCGGTATACGCGTCAGTTTAAAATTGGAAGCTAGCTGAGATTTTTTTTCGCGAAGGATAGAACGGCGCCCGAGGCAAACTGTTTTAATTCATTTCTTAGAATACTAGAAATGCAATTTCATCGAAAGAAAAAAGACAAAACAAACAAAAAAGCCACAAGAGCTTGTTTGAAAGTTTGTCGAAAAACACATGAAAACACATGGAACTAAAGTACCTTGACCAGCTACGAAAGAAGACAAGTGTTGTTTCTTTCTTGATCGCGAAGCCATTCGCCGATCGAGTCACTCGCCGATAGATAACTGCCGCTTGTTTATCCGACATCAAGAATATAAATCACAAGTAAACAGCTACAAATACAGGCTATGCAGCCATTCACTAGAGCAATCGAGGTGGCAGTATAGGTTCTTTTCTCGTTCAGCAAAACCAGCTTGTGGCTTCAAACAACTTCATAACAAGCGACCGAGGTAATAGTTTTTCTCCGTTGTTATTACTTTTATAACTGCACCGAAAATCCAAATTCACGGTAATTTCGACGGCTGTCACTTAAAAATTCTTTTCCTTCACATTATCTGCCAGTTTTTTTAAAGCTGTTCTGCTGTGTAAAATCCTAGAATCCCGATGAGTTTTTAAACAAATGTTCATCGCTACAATGTTTTGATTTTTCATTCATGCAGTCCAGGCGAGTCCGTTCGCGCGTTGACAGTTTTGATAGACGTGTGACATGCGAATAGCGGAAGTCCCTTGTCTTTCCGGTTTGTTCTAGTCGGGGTGATTCAACGAGATTTTTTGGGCGTTTTTAATAAAACAATTATTCCACTCGCGCTTGTTGGATACGAGATGATTATAGCCAACTCGGCGCTACGCGCCTCGTTGGCTATCTATCATCTCATATCCAACGCGCCCTAATGGAATAATTGTTAATTATAACAGTAAAGGGTAACTGACCTTCAGATTAGCTAATTATTTTCTCCTACCTCCGCAAGTTTTTCCATCGCCGTAGTATCCTGCCTTGCAGGTGCAGATATACGATCCACGAGTATTGGAGCAGTTGGCATTGCTGTCACATACAGGAGAAGAAACACTGCATTCGTCAATGTCTAGAAAAACAAAAATATTGGAGTTCCACAAGGATCTATCGTAGGCTCCTTGCTAACAAAATAAAATCAAATAATAATAATAAAGAAATAATAATAAAAATATTCAGCCATGTTCGATCCCCGTTGAAAACAGTCTGAATTTCCCCAACAGGGAACAAAAACGTTTTTAGGTTTTTCGCCTTCTTCGCCATCGAGTTGTCCACGCCTGAACTCATCAACGTTTTTTATACATCTCTCATAATTCTTCTAAAGCAGAGTTTATCTATATAGGCTGTTCCAAAGACCTAGGGTTACCCGGTGCTGTTGCATAATTTTGTTTTTCTTTTTCCACTGGTCTAGGTGGGCTACTGAGTAACTACAGCATTACTTTTCGCGGTTAAATAACAGACTTCAAATGTTTTAATTCTTAATGCGCGGCCTTTTAAAGAATTTGTATACACTTACATTTATACAAAAAGTTTCTAATAACAGAAGTATAACCCGCGGAATGATCTTATGCACTGCCCGTATATAAACGGACTGGATTCGATGGATTGACGATTTTTGCTGGTTGTCACAAGTCCCTGGAAATCTGCCCTCTTCGTTGTTATCACAGTAAATCGACCTTTATCCTACCTTGGCACGTTTTTCCGTCGCCTGTATATCCTGACTTGCAGGTACAGATATACGATCCACGAGTATTGGAGCAATTTGCATTGATGTCACACACAGGTGTAGAAGTACCGCATTCGTCAATGTCTAGAACAACAAACATACTGATTGATGAAAAAATTATTGATGGGCATTAACTAAGGCCCTAACATGTGACGCGAGCAGTACTCATTCCTTCGTGACAAGAGTCTTTTTTCCCTTAAAAATTCTCTTTTTTTCTCCGTGTCGTATCAGTTTAAATCTCCCTGTTGCTGTTGCTTCATAATTTTTTTCTACTGGGCTACTAAGTAATTACAGCATTACTTTTGGCGGTTAAATAACGGAATTCAAACGTTTTTATTCTTGCGCGACCTTTTGAATAATTTGTATACACTTACATTACTTACATTTACCCAAAAAGTAGCCTGAGAAAACAATCAACATTTGGCGACGCCACCACCGTTTTTTCTGCCAAATTACGTCTGAGAAACGAGCGCAGAAATTCCATACTTATGACGTCACCACCCAGATCTGGGAAGTACTTCTGATAAGTTAAATCAAATTTCCATGCTGCACGACCAATCAGAACCCGGATCTGGGTAATGACGCGTGATCAGTATGGAATGTCTGCGCTCGTTCCTCAGACGTCATTTGGCGGGGAAACCAGTGGTAGCGTCGCCAAAGGTCGGCTGTTTTCTCAGGCTACCCAAAAAAGTTGCTAATAACAGGCGTGTAACCCGAGGCATGATATGATGCACTGCCCGTATATAAACGGACTGGATTCGATGTATTACCGATTTTTACTGGTGGTAACAAGTCCCTGAGAATCTGCCATCTTCGTTGTTATCACAGTAAATCGACCTTTATCTTAATTACCTTGGCAAGTTTTTCCATCGCCTGTATATCCTGTCCTGCAGGTACAGATATACGATCCACGGGTATTGGAGCAGTTGGCATTTAAGTCACATACAGGAGAAGAAGCACTGCATTCGTCAAAGTCTACAACAGCGAACATATTGATTGATGAAAAACATATTGAGGGGCATTTACTCAGGCCCTAACATGAGACGCAAGGAGCACTCATTCCTTCGTGACACGAGTCTCTTTTCTCTTTTTTTCTCCGTATCATCAGTTTAAATCTCCCGCTTGCTGTTGCTTCATAATTTTTTTTCTTTTTCTACTTGGTTTGGTTGGCATTACATGACGGCATTACATTTCTTGGTTAAATAACAGACTTTAAACGTTTTAATACTTGCGCGCCCTTTTAAAGAATTTCTACACACTTACATTTATCCAAAAAGTTTCTAATAACAGAAGTATAACTCGAGGCATGATGTGATGCACTGCCCGTATATAAACGGACTCGATTCGATGGATTGACGATTTTTACTGGTCGTCACAAGTCCCTGGGAATCTGCCCTCTTCGTTGTTATCACAGTAAATCGACATTTATCCTACCTTGGCAAGTTTTTCCATCGCCTGTATATCCTGTCCTGCAGGTACAGATATACGATCCACGAGTATTGGAGCAGTTTGCATTGATGTCACATACAGGAGAAGAAGCACCGCATTCGTCAATGTCTAGAACACCGAACATATCGATTGACGAAAAAATTATTGATGGGCATTTACTCAGGCCCTAACATGTGACGCGAAGAGTACCCATTCTTTCGTGATTCCATGAGTCTTTTTTCCTCTTAAAATTTGTCTTTTTTTCTCCGTGTCTTATCAGTTTAAATCTACTGGTTAATTTTTCATCAGTCGCCGCATCTGTGACTAAATATGAAACATTTACGTCAGTCGTCTAATAATTAATCATAAATTAACTTATCAAAGGGCACAATCAGCTTAACGGTAGTCGCCGATTGTATAACTGACTAAACTCACCGTTGGTATCCATATTGCAATAGGCCAGAAGAGATGTACCAGATTTTATAGTGGAAAACCAGTATTTCCCGCTAACAGCGTGTCCTTCACTCCTCTTTATTTCGTCACAAGTCTCAGCTGGTAGTTCTTGAATCGAACCAAGGGGAACTGAAAGGTTAAAAAGCAATTCCTTATTATTAGTTTGCCTTTACCCATGCATAGTTTTTACTTTATGCACGGGGCGCTACTCAACAACGTTTTATGCAGGTAGGTTCCGCCCCGAGGTCCAACCCTTTACCCTTTTATATAACGTTTTGGGAAAAAAAAGGTACCCCTTTCGTATACCTTCCATTCACGAATGCTACCTATTGAACATACCTAGCTAGTTCAGAACTACCGCAAAATCCTACGTTAAAGCCCTGGGTTTATATAACTTCATAAGGGGTTTTGGGTGAACTTATAAACGAGGCGGGGCTTATATCGGGGG